GTAGTTTATTTTAGTCAAACTGAAGAAGTAAGTTTACAAACATATAGTCCATTCAGCTATCTTTCATTTGATACCTCATTTTGTCTTACAAAACCAACAATAACATTTTAAATAGTTTTTAATCCCAACCTCTCACTTCTGTTACCCGGGTGCGAATAGCCACTTCGTTTTTTATAATCATAATGAAATGGATGTGCTATCAGCATTTAGTCAGAATACATGCTAAGAGACTGATGGTTGTGAATAAACAGTGGTTATAGTAGCAACATTTCTCCAACACATAGTGAAAGTAAGACTATCGAAATTTTAACAAAATGAAAACTTCACACACTTGTAATGTACATATTGATGTTTGTTTAAACACAATGAGGAAACCTCCCTTAGTTTCATATTTGTTATGTGGTTATTATCCATGTGTAAATGTATGCACTTTCTATTTGTTTTCTTGTTTCTTCTTATCTTCAATTTGGTTATGTCTTTCTTTCAACTTAATGTGTCTGATCAAAATTGTTGCTGAACCCGTAAATAGCACCATTCCTTCAAATAGCACCACTTTTGCTTTGGTCCCAAGTGCTTTTGTTATTTTCAGGTTTTACTGTAATTTGCATCTACTCTCTTTGTAGGCGGACAAAACAACATATATATATAAACCACCTTACCATCTTACCATCATACCATCATACCATCATACCATCATACCATCATACCATCATACCATCATAACATCATACCAGCATACCAGCATACCAGCATACCAGCATTATATATATTTGCAGATGCATCTACACAGGAAATACACCTGGACAGCTATGTCAACCTGATTTACAGGACCAAGCTTCTTCCTAGCTTGACTTTTAAAAAAAAGGAAACTCTTTTAACTGCATTCATATCCTGTCACCTTCTTGGTACTTTCTCATCTCCAGTGGAAAGACAAATAGCCCATGTACGTGGGAAAAAACAAATCAATTTTTTTATACTCATGAGGCAAGAGTTCAGTTCTGTCTTGGGATGGCTTCTTACTTCTTGGTTTAGTAGTGTTTCCTAAATTTCTCCTACCTTGCGCTAGCTCAGAATTTTTTCTTCTGTAGTCCATTGGTTTTCATTCTTGCTAAGTTACCACAAGTATATTAACAAAATCAAAATGCCACAGTTAGCCTTCATTAAGGTCATATATAATGGGAGTCTTAGCAAGAAAACTAAAGTGTTAGGGATCTGGTCACCTCATGACATGCACGTTTTTTGTCATGGTAATAAAGGGCTGCAATAAGGTTAGAAAAAGGGAAATGGGCGAAACATAGTACGGGAAAAACCTGACAACAATAATGCAACATAACAACGAACGTGTCGATAAGAAGCCTACATCAGGGAACAAACGACTTAAAGACAGAATTAAAAAAAAATAATATATTAAATAAATTTTCATTTAAGAATGTTTGGGTTGTTCGCTTTTATTTTGAAGTGACCAGCAGTGGGTGAAAAATTAAACCCACAAAGGCCACAGCATGTACAATTATTTAATGAATTTATATTGATTTATTATAAAATGTTTCAGTTGTTGTCGTTTTTTTGAAACGACCAGCAGTGGGCGAAAACTTAAAATAAAAAAGCCCGCTGCATGTACAGTTTAATTACACAGTAACTAAAAACAGTTCTGGCGAGGTCAAGGTTGTGATCCGTGACCTGAATTCTGACTGTTAAAACTGGTCGATGGAAGGTAAGAAAATCTTTTATGTACATTACATCCACAAAAATAAGATGTAGCAAATTGTAACACATTTTTAAAATCATTTGCTTTTATTTTGTTCAGCTTGCACCAAATTTCATTTACTTCTCTATTGGGCACATTAAAACGGGGACAAATGAAACTTACCAAATCACATTCACACTGCTCTTTGATTTTAACCCTCCAACTGTGGTCGGCCGATATTCTCGTTCTGTGCTGTGGCGGCCGATTAAAAAAACTGTCCGATAGCAACTTCCAATCCAATATTTAACCGGAATTATAGCCACGTCCTTTTATTAGTAATTAAATCTTCTTCCGGCTCAAACTTTTTCTTGATAACTTAAAAATAAGTACTTTTCAATTGGAGTTTTATATCGCTGTTTTTTTAAAAAAACTAACATGGTTGAAAGCTATGGCTGGGCAATAACTAATAGAAATATTTTTGAAAGCGTTTTAGGAGAGGTTTTAAGTGACACTGATGATTTTAACATTCCCCATGATGATATCAGTTGAGATTATTCTTCTCGTGAATCTTATAACTAGTCTTAGTGATACTGAAGGAGGTCTACTGAGACTACTGTTTGACTTCGAGCCAGGCCCGGAGGTTGGGCAAAGACTGACTGAATTTTAGTCACAGAAGCTACATATTATAGATCAGAACTAATAAATTTTATAGTTTAACAACCCAAATCAGTTCCACAGTTCCTTTTAAAATGTTTACTAGTCAATAATAACTATTTTGACTGAGATTTTGTATTTTGTACTTGGTTTTAGCTGTGGTCCCAGTTTCTTATATAAATGACCTAAAATTAATAAAATTGCTTTCAGAGGTTTAATTGTAATCAAAACCATGGCAAACTATACATTTTCTGAAAGATAAATGAATTGCCTACAATATTTAGATTTGTGTTTTTAAGTGTATCTATAAAAATTAATGATGATATGAACACTTGAAAGCAAGACATTTTGTCGATTTTTTTTCCTCGAGTACTCCAAGGTCATGGACACTGAGCAAAAAATTTTAAGGGGTGGGCAATATGGCCAACTTTATCCCCATCCATTTACCTTTCTAAAAATATATACACTTATAAGGGTCTTGTATCAATATTTCTATGTCATTTAATGCAATTTCAAAAGGCACTCAAAAAACTCTGAAAAGCTCCACACCACAGAATGATGCATGCCACAGTTTGAGGGTTAATTAACTCACCATGTATTAATTACTGAGGTAGAAGATGAATATTATTTATTTAAGTGCACCAAACAAAAATTAGATTAAAAACCAAACAATTTAAATAAATAATTTGCTTAATATACAACTTATAAGCGAATATTTTATTTAAAAATAAGTTTTCTTTATTTACGAGATTTTTATCGAAGTGTTAAATCAAAATAGTTTTCGATGTGATACAGCATAACATTCCTATTTATTCCTGTAAAACTATTTTTTAACACTTGTTTTGAAATAAAATAAACATTACGATTAAATAAGTTACCTTGAAATTATAGAGATTATTGTTTGTAAAACTGGACAGAAGCAGGCTTCCTAAATAGGCCCTACCATATAGCTTTTGGGACATCTTTCATCATATGATACACTTATTTCATGTAATGCTTAATTTCAGTAAAATAATTGAATTAAGATTTCATTTACTTCATCATTATGTAAAAATAAAAAATAAATGTGGCCAAATGGTAAAATTTTCACCCTACTAAAGTAAAAAATCTCCATTTTATAAAACTTATTGGTATTGTTTCAGAAAAAAAAAATCAGTTATTATAATTATAATTATTGGTGTCAATAACTATAGGCAGAAATTTAATCCCCCCAAAAGTGGTTCATAATGATGAGAATGTATTTTATATTTTAGTCTTTAAAAATAATTTTTAGATTTAATTTATCCAATTTGGGATATCTATCTATCAATTTTTATCCCAGAAAAAAATAGTGAGTTTTCTTAACTTAACAATTTCTGTGTATTATTTCTGTTTTATTTTTATTTCTTTTGCCTTATTCACAAATAGTAGCAATGAGTTAAAATCGTTGCAAATAGAAATCCTAAATTTAAATCTACGTAAACAGAAATTATAAATTTAAATTTGCCAAAGTAAAATATCACTCTCATCACATATTATGCATACTTTTCTTTCATTAACAAAATACTAAAATTAATTTTAAAAAATTAATTTTTAATTAATAAAACAGCTTTCATAATGCTTAATTTCCTGCTTTCTTATTCCTTTATGTGGCTTAAAGTCTTGAACAGGGTTTCCCAACCTTTCCATCCCCTTACTAATTGTTTCACTAAGTCTCTCATCACCTATACATTTTTTTAGACTAAGTCACTCCCTACAAAAGTGTTAACAGATTTTATAAATATCTAATAACTTACTTTTTAATTACAAAGAGTACTTTAGAAAATACACTTTTTGGGACTTAAAAGTTAAATTTTAATAAAAAATTTAAAGAAAATATAATAATATGTATTAACATTTTTATCATAACATTGAATTTAATGTCTCCCTCTATTCATGTAATGTCTTTCCCTGCACCCCTTAAAATGCCACTTGGCAGGCTGTGAAACCCTGGTCTAGAATGTGATTCAATATTGTATAATAATAATAAAAATTAAAGCTACTAGTTATGAGTTTCACTCAAGTCACTTTTTCTTTAAGAAATCATGTTGCACAAATACATGCCATTCAGTATGCTTGTGTTAAATTCTTCCCAAACCTAAGAAACCAAATTACCAGTTTTTACCTTTTTAGAATAGTTGTTAATCTTAGGTCCTTTTTTCCCAACATTTCCATCCTTCAGAAGAAAAAAGGCAACTTTCACAAGAGAACAACACCTCTCGTGAATTGGAGAATTCAGAATCAGATATCGAACAAAAGCAAAATTCAGCTTCTGAATCGTACCCTCAAAACTTATCTGGCAATTCAGAACCATCTTCAGACTCCAGAGTCATAGATTTCAGCAGTCTCATTACTTCTGTGAGAGAACCATCAACAAACTCAACAAGGTCATCTGCTCAGCAAAAATTGGACAGTAAAAAGCCAACAGACTGTCCTAAAACATACAAAGACTTAGCGCTTGTAGAACCAACTGCTTCTCATGTCTCTTTTTCAAATTCGCCTAGCACTAGCAGCTCAAATAATGTACTCTGTAGTGTAATATCACCTTCTTGTAATAATGCACCTCCTAAGTCCCATGTCCCATATCTAACTAATAACCCAAATAAAGAGCTACCGATATCATCTTCATCATTACACACACAGTTAAACCAACATGTGAAAGAATTTGGACTTCAATCAAATGAACCTGTAGGTCTGAGACCAGAATTGAAACTAGAAGACTCAGGAGAGACACAATATTTACTGCCTCAGACCTCAGGAATTTCTGGCTTGTCCTCTCGAGCCCCAGAATTAAAGCGAGCCAGAGGTCGTCCCAGGAAGGAGGGAGTGAATAAAAATTTAAGGAAGCCTAGGTAATATTTGTTTTTATGGCTTTCGAAGAACATATGTTTTTGAGTTCAGCAAAATTCTGCTTTATTTAAAATATACTTTTTAAATTTTTTCCATTAAACAAAAAAAGTACCTTCGTTTGGTTGTTGTGTATATATTTTGTTTGGTAATCAAAATGTCTCATTTTGGGAATGTATTCAGAGCTGATATTTGTTACACATCTTATCTTTTTTTAAAAAGTTTGGTGTATCCTTAGTTTATGGGAGCTTTCCAAGCCATAATTTCCATTAAACTGCCATGAAATTAACAGTAGTGCTACCATAAATAGAAAATAATTCCTTACTCTTCACCTTAATTTTCTTTTTATTTGCTGCTTAAAATTTTTTGTTGTTGTTGCTATTTTCTTGTTTATGATGCAATCATATGCAAAGCAAATAATTTATGAGGTAAATGATGTTGTAACCAATAAATGTAGAAAATTTTTGTCAAATTATTTTCCCATCACGTAAACAAAATCTTGATACATTAATTTGGACACTTGAATTCCCTTTTAGAAACAAGTGTGGATTTAATTTAATCAAAATTTAATGTAAATAAAAAAAATTACTTCTACAGTACAAGAGGTGTCTTAGGAAGATCTCTCGGTCGTTCCAGTAGTGGCAGAGGGATAGGCAGAGGTTTAGGAAGGGGAAATAGAGGTAACAGGCAAGGGCGCACACAACGCTCTAACACTACATCGTCACCATCTGTTAGTTCTGGTAGCCTATCACCCAGACTTGTTTCACCAACCGACTTCATACCAGTGCAGTTACCACGTACTTTAAGAAAGGATATTTTACCTCCGTCTGGAATGGCAGAATTTTTGAAACAATCAGCTTTAGCGGCATCAACAGCTGATGGAACAAATAGCAGTGGTAATTATTCTTTGTTCTGTCTCTATTGTATTTTGTTCTAAATTTTAAGACAACTTGTAGCATGTTAAAGGATCTCTGTTAAAATTAAGATATAGTCCTTGATGATGAAGTTTAACATTCCGTGTACATTTTACTTTAATAAATATTTATAAAGGTAACAATTTTAATAATGAATGACAAGCCTGTTACAAAACTGCATAACTATTTAAAACTACATCTAAAAATGAGGCTAATGCAAGCTTATTTGGAGAACAAATGGTCTTAAACCCCCCCTCCTTTTCCTGCAGGGGAAAATTACATATTAATAAAGAAAATATATTTAAAATAATTTCATTTCACAACCTTTAAGGATTGGAAGATTTTTTTTTTAAAAGGAATCTTTGCATTCAGACTTACAGATTAAGTGATTTATAAATAAAAATAAACATTCTGTTGCATTGACTATTTAAAAAAAATCAAATTACCTTTGACAATGATTGATGTCATTTAATATTCTGAAATGCATTTTTTCTTTTGTTTGTGTCAGCTTTTTATCATTTTCTTTTTCTAATAATCCATTCAGAGTATTTCTTTATGTACTGATTCTTAAATAACTATCTGCTGTTTTAGCTGAGGGCTTGTCCCCTGGCACATCCGGTAATAGTTCAACAAATCCAGATACAGGGATGGCTCAAGATTCACAAAAGTTAGTATTTTTTTTTTTATATTGGCAAAATACCCCATCAGAGCATTTTTGTTCTTTTCCTGCTAGGGAAATAGATCTGAATTGAACAGTGTTATCCCTATATTTAAATCTCAAATATTTTATTAAAATGCATCATATTTTGTTTGATTTCTTCTTAAACTTATTATGGTAATATATTAATAGAATACTTGACCCCCACATTTTTTACCCCGTTCGATTCATAGTTTATGCAACTTTTTTTTTTTAATAAATCATTAAAAATTCTCATTAGAATTTTTTTTTTACCGTCTACTGCCATTGGCTCCAACATTCAGTCTAGTGCTGGTCCAGTGTCTACTAAGCCGGGCGTTGAGACGTCAGGCTGATTGTCACTATGCTGCTTGTTCAGAGGCCTAGCAACTAAATACCATATATTCTTATGCTAAAATTTACTGCTGTTCTCATGAGAATGACATATTATTTTAACAAATTAAATCCTTATGGGTCTGTCTTCTTTTTGTTAGAAAGTTACGATAGTTCAAAGGTCAGCAAGATTTTCCAAACTCATAATATGTGTGACAACATGCTAAGTTAATTCGTATAGAAAGTTAAGGCCTATACTATACATATATAAACTTCAATAAACTACTTTATGAAGTGACCTTTTTTAGACATGCGAAGGGAATAGTTATTGCATACATTATACAGTATATTTATTTAAGCACTATTACAGTATGGTATTGTACAATTGTGAGATAGTCAAGTGCTATTCTGGAATGAGATTTTTTTCATGTTTCGTTCGGGGTATTTTAGTCTTTAAATTGTTATTAGAGCGTATATAAAAATACTGTAACACTTTAAAAGCTAAGATGGGTAAACAAAATATAAATACAAATTAAAAAACTGTGAATCAGTCATTGTTTTGTTTATTCTTGATGCAAAATCTTTTATTAGCTATCATATTAGTGTGATTTAGTAAGATTTTTTCAATATATCAAATAAGTAATGACATAATTAATTTAAATAAAATTCTCATTTAAAAGTTAAATTTCCGTTTAAATTCTTACAGAGTAATTTGTTGATGTATCAAATAATGGGGAAAAACTTCTATCCTAGTTAAAATAGAGCTGCTTTTCGATTTTAATAAAAAAAACACTTTTAATTTTGAATTATCCAACATCTAAGATGTGCAATGGTATCCATTGTTTTACAACATCTTTTTCCCTCTTCAAAATGCATGTACTTATTATAATAATAATGTTGATTTTAAATCTGTCTTCTCCAGCTCTGGCCACCTGTGTGCTCTATGCAACTGTGGAGAAAGAAGTTTGTTGGGTCAGGGGGACATGTGGAAATTTGAGCCTACTCCAGGATTTGATGTTTTCAAATTGCCTGAACCAAAATCTCTAAGGGAGTCTGAGGAAGTGGACACTGGGGGTAAAAGTAAAGGTCCACAACCAACAACATGGAGGAGATCAAGGGGTCCATTGAAATCTGGGAGGTTAGTTTTTAAAAATAACAAATCTGTCTTTGAATAAATAATTGGAATTGGTATTTTTCATTTTGAATTCATTTATATTATCTTATTCAAGCAGATTTATTTGTCATGGATTTTTATAGAATAGAAAAACTTATTTTACAGAGAGTACCAATCAATATTTATAATTTTTGGACCATTTTCACTTTTGTTTAAAAGTAAAAGAGTGTTGGACTATCTATGTGATTGGTTTTGTAGATAAAGGTTTAAACATTGTTAATTTAAAAATATTTTGATTGAATTCAGTCTTGTGTAGTTAAGTATGATATGTTCTTATCAAAGTTGCTGCACTTACATATGCTTAGATGTTTTATCTATCATGATTATTAGAGTTAAAAAAAAGCCCTTTTTTATTAATAGGGAAAGAAGCCGCTCTCCCCGACAGTGCCCAGGGGAAGAAGATTCTGTTGGTTGCCATATAAATGATGAATTAGCACTCGTTGGTTTTCATGATGATACAGAGATATCACAGCTTTTTGAACCTACTGGTGAGACAATTTTGTCTAATAAATATCTTTGAATAGTTAAAATCTGAATTTACACAAATATATCCCCTGTCCCTGATTTTGAATACTCGTAAAAAATATATATATTTGAATAAAAGTCTATATGAAATCCATTGTTACCAAAATTATTGTATATATAGGTCATGTTTGGGTCCACCGCTGTTGTGCAATGTGGTCAGAAGGAGTGGAGTTTACTGATACACATCAGCTGAAAGATGTTGACAAGGCTGTCCACAATGCCCTTTCACATGTAGGATATTTAAAAATTAATTTTTTAGACACAATCACTTGTTCAGTATGTTAATTTTAATTTTATTAAAGCAAATTAATTTTGCATTTGAGTCTCAAGAGTTACTTTGTCATCGATACTTATTTGCATTGAAAAGAATTTCATGCTTAATTTAGCATTAACTTGTGCTGTCATTACAAAGGGAGGGCTTGTATTAGGTACACTGTGAGTTTGCACATTAAAAAAGTAAACTACTGTACTGTTCGAGTACAGATTTCATTTTTTTGTTATCTTTCTCTAAATGGCATCTTGTAACACAGCAATCCTATAGAATGGTATGATCTGACCCTGAAACATTCTTTTTTTCAGAGATGTTCTCACTGCAGAAGATTTGGGGCTTCCATAGTGTGCTGTATACCAGACTGTGGAAAACGTTTTCACTTTCCTTGTGCGTCTGCAGGTGGATGTTTTCAAGTGAGTACTTGGCTTCTCCCTTTCTAGAACTTAATGATATGGATTGAAAAGAAGTTGCCGTAAAATCTTTGAAGGTCTTTACTTAACCCTCCAATTGTGGCATGCATCATTCTGTGGTGTGGAGCTTTTCAGAGCTTTTTGAGTGCCTTTTGAAATTGCATTAAATGACATAGAAATATTGATACAATACCCCTATAAGTATATATATTTTTAGAAAGGTAGATGGATGGGGATAAAGTTGACTATAATGCCCATCCTGTGAAAAAAATTTTGGGCAGTGTCCTTGACCTTGGAGTTCTCAAGAATAAAAAAATCGACAAAATGTCTTGCTTTCAAGTGCCCATAACATCATTAATTTTTATAGATACACTTATAACACAAATCTAAATGTTTTAGCCAATTCATTTATCTATCAGAAAATGTATAGTTTGCCAAGGTTTTGATTGCAAATACACATCTGAAAGCAATTTTATTAATTTTAGGTCATTTATATAAAAACTGTGACACTGCTAAAACCAAGTACAAAATACTCAGTCAAAATAGTTATTATTGATTAGTAAACATTTAAAAAGGAACTGTGGAACTGCTTTGGGTTGTTTAACTATATAATTTATTAGTTCTGATCTATAATCTGTAGCTTCTGTGACTAAAATTCAGTCAGTCCTTGCCCAACCTCCAGGCTTGGCTCGAAGTCAAACAGTAGCCTCAGTAGGCTTACTTCAGTATCACTAAGACTAGTAGCAGATTCACGAAAAGAAGAATCTGAAGTGAGATATCGTGGGGAATGTTAAAATCATCATCAGTATCACTTAAATCCTCTCCTAAAAAGCTTTCAAAAATATTTATATTATTTCTTGCACTGAAGGCCCAGCCATAGCTTCCGCCATTTTTGCTTTAAAAAAACAGCGATATAAAATTCCGATTAAAAAGCACTTATTGTTAAGTTATCAAGACACAGCTTGACCCGGAAATTGATTTAATTATTAATAAAAGGAAATGGCTACGATTTCTGTTAAATATTGGATTGGAGGTTGCTATCAGACCGTGTTTTTATCGGCCGATTTTTTTCGGCCGCCAGAGCACAGAACAAGAATATTGGCTGATTTCGTCGGCCGACCACAGTTCAAGGGTTAATTACCAGTTACCTAAATAGTGCTTATGTTCTAACTTTAAAAAAAAATCTCAGCAAGTTGGCTGCTATCCTCCAACTTTGGGTTTTGGGAAAACTAGCATTTGTGACAATGATCTGACATATAGTGATCAATTTTCTTTATTTTAAAATGAATTAATGTATACTGTTTCCTTAAGTGCACCAGATTTAATGCACATTTTATTTACAGGAGGCCAAAACTGTTTCACTGTTATGTTCTGACCACATAGATCAAGCTGAAGCAAGATGTAAGTGTTTCACAAGTAACTTACAATTTATTTACTTGGTCTGCATTGTGACTGTATTATTTGTATTAAATTAATGTTTTTATCATTAAAAATATATATTTTATCATTGGTTTTTAAAAAAAAAAAAAAGAAAAGACTATGCAAAAAATGTTTTACAGATCTTACCTTTTAATGCAAGAAATTTATATCAGTATTCTGAAAAGAGATAGAAATGAAAGAGTTTGATACAAAAATACCCATGTTAATAGATATATATCAATTAGTAGCGATTGTTGTATTTACTCCTTGAGACATCTTAATTCAGCCATTGGTTTAATAAATTTTTTTTATTAGAACTCCTTGCTGCTGATGTATAACTGGTAAATTTGTCATGAAGTTTATAGAAATAAACATACTGAAAATTTGTAATCATGCAGCTGGAGATGCTGCAGCCTGCATCCAGTGTGCTGAAGTTGGAAGTATAAAAGACCAGCTTTTCTGTACAAGCTGTGGTCATCATTACCATGGGAATTGTTTGTGCCCACCTGTTGACATGAAGCCTATTGTCCGAGCTGGTTGGCAGTGCCCTAATTGTAAAATATGTCAAACATGCCGGTAGGTCATTTCTAGCAAGGTTAAAAACTGAATCTGATCGCTTTATAAAATTTATTTTGAAAATATTTAATATTTTTAATTTAAAATCTTAAATAAAAAAAAATTGAAACCAGTGCAATAAAGAAATAAGATAAAACATTAACTGGTTAACTACCATGAGCCGGTGGGACGAGCTCGGCGTTCCTTCTGTTACGGCCATGAGCCGCTGGTAATGCCAATGTTTGTATCGTATTAAATGTGACCTAGATTTAATTCGGCCACAGCTGGTTTTTCTATCTGGTAGTTAATCAGTTAAGTTACAGCAACGCTTTTGCAATGCATTCAAAAATAATTTTAAAAATTTAACATAATATGTTCCAGCACTGCTAGTGATGACAGTAAGATGCTTGTATGTGATAAATGTGATAAGGGCTACCACACTTTCTGCCTCAAGCCCGCTATGACTACAATACCTAAAAATGGGTGGAAATGCAAGGTGAAGAAGTTAATAGTATTTAGTTTATTTCTTTTTAAAATAGTTTTCAGTTGACTGTACTTGAAACTATTGGATGTTATGTAAATTGAATTTTTTTCTGATTGACATATTTTGAAACGTCTTAAGTTGTATTTTTGTCCATATGTATTCAAGCTGAATTTCTATAAAAATCTTTTTTTTTTTAAAGGAGACTTTGAGTTATGAAGTTTATTTATTTTCTTTTTTACTATTAGAACTGTAGAATTTGCACTGATTGTGGCTCACGGACCCCTGGCAGTGGTCCTTCTTCTCGTTGGCATCTTAACTATTCAGTCTGTGACTCTTGTTATCAGCAGCGAAATAAAGGCTTGTGCTGCCCCCTATGTGGGAAAGCCTATCGTCACTTCCACAATAAAACTATGCTTCCTTGCATGCAATGTAAAAAGTGAGTATTCTTTTATTATTAATATATCAGTTTTGGGCGCCATCATATTATTTTTTAAAAATTCAGTTTTTACAAGATTAAATGTGATAATATCAGAAAATTACACATTTTTAAAAATTATTTCTGTATATAAATGGGTCATCAAGTAACAGCTGGTGTTTGTTTAAAAAAAAAAAGGTTTGTGTAAACATTATTTCTATTTTATAATGAAATAACATATAAATCTTTCACTTGCGATAATTTTGTTTCCCTCAGGTTTGTGCATATTGAATGTGATCCTACAATAAATGCAAGCTCAGTTTCTAAACTGAAAGATCTACCACAAGACTATGTCTGTACTGTTTGTAGGGAGACTGACCCAGATGCGATGGTAAGTTTGTTCTAACAACTGGTACAACTGAGATTGTTGAGCCTTCTCGTCCATGAGGGGCATCCACCGATCATCGTCGGCGTCTGCGGTTCCTCCAAGGGCATAGGCCACCTACGAGAGACCTCCAGGCATCTCTATCCTGGGCCAGCTTCTCCAGGATCTTCCATTCATGGCCAATTTTCTTGATGTCTGTCTCCAATTCTTGGCGCCAAGTGTTTCTTGGACGGCCTCTTTTCCGCTTACCCTGTGGGTTCCATTTCAGGGCTTGCTTTGTTATGTTAGAAGCAGGTTTTCTTAGTGTATGACCAATCCACCTCCACCGCTTCTGGAGAATCTCTTCCTCAATGGGTTTCTGTTTAGTCCGCTGCCACAGTTCCTGGTTGCTGATTTTGTCTGGCCAGTGAATTCTGAGAATCCTTCTTAGACAGTTGTTGATGAAGGACTGGATTCTGGTCAGGTTTACGGCCGTTGTTCTCCATGTCTCGGCTCCATATAGCAGCACAGGTTTTACCATAGCGTTAAAAATCCTTACTTTTAACTTGCTGCCTAAGTTGTTAGAGACCCAAACATTCTTGAGTTGTTGGAAGGCTGCTCTTGCTTTTCCTATCCTTATTTTGACGTCCGCATCTGTACCACCTTGTTTATCTACCATGCTGCCAAGGTAAACAAAGCTGTCCACCTCCTCAAGGGCTTCTCCTTCAAGCATAATGGGTGATGTACTGGTGGCTTTTATTATTTCTCTCTCTCTTTTTAGAAATAATATTTGGAAGAGAATTATAGTGGTTTTGTTTCTAATCTTGGAGCTTTTATGCGTTTTCATATTTGTATTTGTTTCTGTGCAGATGGATACAGATCAACAACACCCTATACTGCACCATGCTGCATCAGAAGAGTCAATGGAAAGTTATATGAGTAAGTCTGAAATTTAGATGCTTTGTGAAAGATATAATTTTTTAATTCAAAGGGGAAAAATTATTATTATTTTTTTTTTATATGCTGAAAGTATTCAATATCGAAGGAGATTATTTTGTTTTTCAAGAAACTGAGAAGTCATCCTTCACTCTCTCTATCCATTACAATATTTGCTTTTTTTCCCCTAAAAATTAAAAATCTTCCTTTTTCAGCTGATGACCTGGTGTTGAATAATGACCCAATGCTTACAGATGCAGCTCTCTCAGGCCCTAGTGGAATTACAGCCTCCAGCTCACAAGAATCTATTTTTACCTGTGATGATTCCAGTTCTAGTTTTGATATAGAGACACCTCCCGACAAAGTAATTTGAAGTTTCCATCATTATACTAATAGGCCCAATACATAAGTTTTGTTACAAATGAAATGAAGATCCGCTGAATAAATCAATGTCGTTTTATGAACAAATTTAAGTTCATCTCTGGCTTTGTATTAATTGGCAAATACTTTTTCCATCCCATTTAGTGTATCATGTCACCTGTACCTAGACGCGACTCATTTGACTTTACCAAAAAGAGAAGGCAAAAGGTACACATTTACATTAATAAATTAGTCTTTATATTTTCAAATATGAAAATTTGGTAAAGGTTGATATTTGTCTGGGAAAGAAATTTTATTTTTAGCGCCTAATTGAATTTTATGGATAAATAAGCCTTTTCATAAAGTGGGTTAGCTCTCTGCTGTCTGACTTTTTTTTTCACTTTGTTAAAAATCTTAAGGTAATTTTTTTTGAATTAAGTATCTCACCTTTAATAGCTCTGATTTTATTAGTTGCTTTTAACTTGCCCCAACTTTGAATGAGTTCTCAATATTTATTCTTTTTATATTTTATTTACTTAGTTTCTTTTAAAATACATAAAATAATATTTGAGTACTTTTCTTTCATTAGACATGCGATTTTGAAAAAAAATTCGCACAATATGAAGGAAAATAAACACACTTTGTTTTAAAAGTCAGAATTTTACAAAAAAAATTATTTTTCATCTGCCACAAATTATTGCAAAAATGACAAACATTCAATGAAAAATAAAAAAAAAGCTTTGATTTTTATTTTTGAAGATATAATTTTGTTAAATTTTTCTAAAAATGCATCATAAAAATTTTATTTTCGTACACTGTATATAATTTGTAAATAAGGGCCTTTAAAAATATGGATGTGGAAGATAATTCTTTAATAATTCTTCAGTAAAATATAATTGAGTGCATTTTGATGACATATTACTTCAAAACCAGAATTAAGATTTCAAAAAAATTTGAACATAAGGTAATTCTTGAGCTGATTATAAAAAGTGTTGGACTGCAATAAAGCTTTAAAATAGATTAATAAGACACGAAAAAATTGTGTCAATATAACAATATAAGGAAGCTTTAATAATAATTATACATTATACATAAGTAAACGTTTCGGCACATGCCTTCATCAGTACAAACAAACAAAACACAATTAAATAAGTATAAATTAAATTTACATAATATAAATATACATATCCTACCTAAAACAGAAAAATAGGAGAGGGCGCTAAAACCAGACTAAAACAAAGTAAAGAGGAGTAGAAAGGAAGTGATTTTAACATAATTGTAAAAAGCAAACAGGAAATTTAACATAATTGTAAAAAGCAAACAGGAAAAAGACATGGCAGTTAGGTAAAATTGTGGATTTGGTTCAGTCCATATGGAGACAATGTACCAAATCTAGTTATTAATTTGTTCTCCATATTGATTCTATCTGTAGTGTTACTAGTATAGAGTATACCAGTAACTGCGATGTCTGAGATACCATCATGGTTAGGGCTATTGAAATGTTTGGAGACCGGACAGAGAACGTGTTTATTTATGTTATAGAGGTGCTCTCTGAACCGGTCCCCAAGGCGACGACCTGTCTCTCCTATGTATAATTTACCGCACTTTTTGCAAATGATGGTGTAAATCACGTTGCGACTTGTGCAGGTAAAGCCATCTTTTATTCTGAATACTTCCAGAGGGAAAGTGATCTTATCAGTTTCGATCACATAGGGACATGAGTTACAATGGCTACGGTTGCAACTCTTTGTGCCTTTATGTGCTTTAATAGCAGGGAGGAGGCTTCTAACTAGCACGTCCCTAAGGCTCCGGAAAGCGAAAAGAGGAGGTTTTCTGAAAATCTCATTTGTGACAGGGTCTGCCATCAGAATTGAGCGGTTTTTAAGAACCAGAGAGCTGACACTAGCTAAAATCAAATTGATTCAGTAACTTTTTGCAGAATTGGGTAATAGTTCCGAGTACTGTGCATTTCCCTCTAATCTGATCTCTCCACTCCCAAATATGCCTAAAATATGTTATAATCCTCAACTGACAGGCTGATAATGTACAATGCTAGAATTATCTTTACACACCCTGAACACTTATATTTTTATAATTTAAGTGACTTTTTGATATAATGATAGATACAACTGGTACTGCAATTGAGTTTCCCCTTAAGGATAGGTAGTATGTAATTTCATCACAGAACAATCACTCGAAAAAGAACCTCTGAAATAAAAATGTGGTTGATTTATAATTAAAATTAACTGTATGAAATTAACTGTACCTGCTTATCAGCAGTTTACTCTGTTTTTTTTCTGAATGGTAGAAATTGTGTTTATTAGCTGGAATGTCCAGTTTTAAAATCTAAGTTGGCTTAGTTGCCATAACATTCACGTTGAAATTGTTGTATACATTAACAAAGCAGCTCCAGCCTTGTTGATGTAACTTGAAGTTGAAAAGTGATAAAGGTAACTGTACTCCTTGTCTTGTTTTGTACAGGTTTCATTCAGTAGATAGCTCATTTCTTATGACAGGAATAGCATTGCCATAATGATTGGGTTGCCCAATGTCCTAGCCACCACTCTGATACTGTGAAATGATAACAGATTATATGCATTACATAAAAGCTTAGATCTTATAATTTAAAAAAAAGCTGAACTAAATTAAATGCATTATTCAATTAAAAATAATAAAAATTCAAAATTAAAAGCGGTATTTAATTTATAAAAATCTATAGATTGAAAAGACAAGGCCTGTTCTTATCGCATCCAATATATACAAAAGAAATGTTAAACAACTATGCCTATGAAAAAAATCTGATAATAAAATGTACACTTGATAAACTGGAATAAGAAATAAGTACGCTTAAATACTTGATTCAATATTCATGAAGTCCACTTTTACAGGATATCAATGTGAATATAGTTTTTTTTCCACTAATTCCACAAAACCGAAACACAATGCACAGGCTAACAAATTTTAAATTAAAAATATAAATTTACGCTTAAAATTGATATTTTTAACAAATTTATCCATGAAATTATAGTTGCACATTTAAAAATAACTTTTTTTTTTTAAAATGTACGAAAAAAATCATTTATAATCCACTGTTCACTCATGGTAAAAAATTCAATAAAATGTACTTTGAGAGTTAAAAAAAATAATTTATCCAAACACATAAGCCATCGTTGTGTACTGATGTTTCCTCTGTTGTCAGACTACAGAGTGTTAAGTTTATTGAACATTGAAATAAAAAAAAAAGCTTTTGTTATTGTTTGTCAGGTTTTGAATTTTCAACAGACTGCATGTCAGCTGGGTTCTAGCACCAGCAGAGTCACTAGTATTTATAGATTATTACTTCTGTAACATTTTACAACAAATTTGAAGTCTTCTCATCACCACAAGTAGTTAAGTACAGTATTTTTTGGCGTATAACACGCACTTTTTCTCCCCGAAAATAGGGGGGCAAATCTTGTGTGCGTGTTATACACCAATATAATGTTTCGTTTTTTTTTCCTGAAATTTCCTTCTTAAATTGAGGTGTGTGTTATACACGGGGGCATGTTATACGCCAATAAATACGGTATATCAAATATGAAAAAAAAAGTCTTTTAATTGATTGGATTTTTTTTCCCTTTTATAGAGCAAACACTCTAACTCTGAGCGACATCATCATCACCACCATCAGCAACAACTTCAACCTCCATCACAACAGCAGCAGAGTTTAACTGAGAAACGACGGGGTCCAAAGATAAAAGTAAAGATTGGTGGTCAGGTTATGGGGATAACTTCAATGGAAGGCAGCAGTGTAAGAGATTGGTTTTATGTCTTTGTTTTCCCAAGTAAAATGTTAAAAAGTTTCACTGAAGATTTCTTTTGAGCATAGATTCCACATTGTTATCTGTAGAGAGTGAAAACTTCACAAACTCATGAACAAATTTTTTAATAAATTATTATTAAATGACTCTTAACTACATTTAGAAACTACTGTGGCAGACACCACCACACCTTAAATAAGGGATGTTTAGTTTTTAAATAAGGGATGTCCAGTTTTTAAATAAGGGATGTTTAGTCTTTAAATAAGGGATGTTCAGTTTTTAAATAAGGGATGTTCAGTTTTTAAATAGAGGATGTTTGTTCAGTTTTCAAAGAAGGGATGTTTGTCCAGTTTTTAAATATGGGATGTTTAGTATTTAAATTAGGGATGTTCAGTATTTAAATATGTGATGTTCAGTTTTTAAATATGAGATGTTCAGTATTTAAATAAGGGATGTTCAGTTTTTAAATATGGGATGTTCAGTATTTAAATAGGAGATGTACAGTGTTTCTGCCACTTCCAACCATTTAATATTCTTAGCACTTGGACTTTTAAATTTTATTGACATATTTAAAAAGTTACATCTATAACAATCACTGCCTAGGCATATACGTTAATTTTTTAATTTAAACAAACACTGCCTAGGCATATACGTTAATTTTTAATTTAAACAAACTTTGATCTTCTCTTCCAGCCAATCTCACATCATTCCATGTCCCAGACATTCTCTCTCAGTTCTCCTGCCTACTCTGCTCAGTCTGCGGATGGACAGAGTGAAGAAAAGGAGAAGGAAAAGGAAAAAGACAAAGATGACGATGACGACGAAGGGGACGATCATCCGTCTACTTTGATTTTAGCAGATGCATCTGACATGTTTGTTATGGACCAGGTGAGAGTTTCAGTAGGGAGAGTGTTAGGTATTTAGTTCACTTTGGCTGAATTACCAGAACTAGTACATTTAGTCATCTAGGGTATTATAGCATCCTTTGTTTTGAGTATTTTTTTCCATTTTGGAGCATTACATTCATCTTTATTTCCTGCTGACAACTATGTATGTGCCAGGATAGCAAAAAAAAAGGTAGATTTTGAATTGCATGCTAAGCTGATGTATTAGGGTTTAACTCTTCCCCAAAAGCTTTTTTATTTTTACTGGGCTGAGTTCTTTCCAGTCGACATTTTGTGCATGTATTAAGGTGCTAAGTCATTTTATTCAAATACTTTTTACTGATACTCTCACAGACCTGTTTACTCTTACGATTTTGGCATACAATGTACGATTGTGAGGTGTAAACATATATATTTTTTTGAATATTTTTTACTCTAAATATAAGGCATTGAACGATTTTGTGATGATATTGTACGATTTTAAGAGTTTGAGGGTAAACAGGTCTGCTCTCAATATCATATATAAAACCTAACCTCCTCTAGCAAGCCTTACACCCTGTGAGATTACACTATTTCTGTGACTTTCAAAAAGCCCAAAGTAGCTCTCATAATTACTGTGTCTAAGACTAAGACAAAGCCTTGGGCACACTCCTCTCAGATTGAATATATTCTTACTCAAACAAACACAGCTTGCTCTCAATTATTAGATACTGTCTAAGTTGTGGAAACAATCCTCTAACACTAAAGATGCATGATATTTCATGTATAAAATCTTGATTTTCTTCTATCAACAAAGGACATGTGTAAAGCTTGTGGATCATTTGGAAAAGATGAAGAGTCCAAGATGATTGTCTGCACCCAATGTGGCCAGTGCTATCATCCTTATTGTGTTTCTGTGACAGTGAGTACACAGCTCATTTACTTCCTGCCATAACTAATATTTATCTTAGCTACTTTTCATTTTGCATTTGTCTTTGGTAAAAAATATCTTTTGTTGAGGATAATTATGAAAATTAAATTGTTACTTATGCATATTTTCAAAATTTAAAAGAAATTTAGATAAATTAATCTGATTTTGTAATATTCTGTTCAATAAAAAGTTTTATTCTTTTAAAATTATACATATTTACCAATTTTTTAAATTTTTTTTTTTGCCTTAGGTTACTAAAGTGATGCTTCAAAAGGGTTGGCGTTGCTTAGACTGCACTGTATGCGAGGGTTGTGGTGGACCTGATGATGAGGGTCGGCTACTTCTGTGTGATGACTGTGATATCAGCTACCATACTTACTGTCTTGACCCACCTCTTGAAACAGTGCCTAAGGGCAACTGGAAATGTAAATGGTATGAACTATTTTTTTGTTGGAATTTCATCAAGGAGAAACTATCAACTTTTAAAATATTTTCTCTGGTAACGGCTGCATGTTAAACAATGTTAAGTTTGTTTTATTTTGGTTAAAAGTTGTAATTATTACAAATCTTTAAAACACATTTTTTTTGCTGCTGTCTTGAAAAGACTTCACATAAAACAGCCTAATTGTGATGTTTACTTGCATAAACTGTGTCTTTAATCTAGTTTTAAGCTTTATTACAGTCTAATTCTATTATAATTATTCAGTTTAGCATGTCTCAAACAATGAAACTCTGTTATTTATTTTATAATAAAGTAATAGATATATTTAACTGATATTGTTTTGATCAGTTATGCTCAACCTATTTTTAAGGGCAATTTTCCAAAATTTTGTCAAATTAAAATATGTGCCTTTTTAAGTTGAATAATTTGTGTCTTTTTATTGAGTCCTAATGATCACACATTACATAATGTTACTTCTTCCATTTTTGAGTATTTGACATTGTTAGTGCCTATTAAAGCTTTGTTGGCGGTAACAGCAAATGGCCTGTAACATCACTTTAATTTTCTCCTCAAGGTGTGTTCAGTGCGTTAATTGTGGTACGACGTCTCCCGGCTTTGCCTGTCAATGGATGAACAACTACACACAGTGCGGGCCATGTCACAGCAAGATGTACTGCCCTGTGTGTTTAGATAGCTACCTCATCGATCAGCTGATTATACAATGTATGCAGTGTGATAGGTAAGTTTCCATCCATCCCTGTGGTGTTACAGCCCATTTAGGGCTTTGGTCTGCCTCACTACTTCCTTCCACTCAGACCTAACTAATGCTTTTCTTTTCCATGCTTGGATTCCCAGTTATTGTATATCTTTTTCCACATCATCCATCCATCAAAGCCTAGGTCTGCCTTTGAGTCGTTTTCCTCTGGGGTTTTGGTGATGCACCCTCTCCAAGTCACAATCCAAAAATCATGTCCATATCCAGGCATAGGTCCATTTCCATTGGTATCAATCCGGGTTTTATTCTATTGATTGGCTTTCGTAACGTTAATTTTTATATGGCAGTGTTGTTAGCCCTGCGCACAACTGTCTGGTGGGGCTGCCCCTTACAGCTCTCTGGATAGCTGCCTTGGTTTTTTGGGTAAGGATCCCTAGCCTTTGTGGATCCCTCCACTTCCTACAATGCAGTAGGTTCTGATTTTGGTCCGCCCCTGGTATTTTATTTCCCCGGTACCCTCCATATCTGGTGGGCTTTCTCCTATCCGCCACCTGGGGAGGCGCTTGATGGGAGATCAGTATCTCCGCACGAGTATAGGTAAGTTTAATTCAAATCTATTTTTCAACCATAAACACATCTTGTTTTTTTATTTATTTTCTGTTGTGCAGATCTGCTTAGCTATTTTTGTACTTTTATTTGAACAGTTAAAAAAAATATTTTTTTTTAACTGTAAGATTTTAAGGATTTAGGATAATTTGAATGTAAAATATAAATCTAGGGATTTCATAGATATAGCAAGAAATATTCTTATTGACTTCATTCTCTAATGAGTGTTATGATACATTATTATTTTAACCTGGTTTATTGGGACGAATCGTAAATAATTTCAACAATTGAGATAATTCGACAGAATAACAGTAGTTGTATTCCTCAAATAACTTTATTTAAAATGCCATTCAAAATAAACTATAAATTCGTTCATTATTTTTCTATTTATACCATCACTGATTTGTTTACATTATTGAATTAATGTTAGTGTTGTAACTTAACAAAATCTACATCTTTGCTGTTTATGTGCAGATGGCTGCACTGTGAATGTGATGGCTTGCACTGTGAGGAGGAAGCTGAGCTGGCTGCAGATTATGGTTATCACTGTACATTCTGTCGGCCTAAGACTGGCAAGGAAGGTCCTCGTAAGTGAATTTTTAAAGTTAGTTATTAAAAATTGGTTGACTTGTTTATTTGATATTTATTGATTCTAATTTTTATTAGGTTTTTGCTTTTATAAATATTTAACATACTGGTAGCAACAAAAAAAACTTGTAAAAATTTTGTAAGCTGAAATATTACTTTGTTAAAAATATAATCCTTTTTTTCCATCAGTGCCCCCACCTCCACCACCACCTCCATCTCCACCTAAAGAAGAGCGGGCTCCAACACCTCCGCCTCTGCCATACATACAACCGGTTCCAGAACCCCCGAGACAGTTTTTTGTGGACGGTGTGTATCTGTTTGCAAGTGGTCTCAATCAGATAAAGCAAAGGCAACAAGTCATCACGAACCCCAAAAAGTTAAAGCCTTCGCAGCAGCCAAGGCGGGCATCTCGTGAGTATTATTATTTCATTTATTTGATCATTTACATAAGCATGGTTTTTAAAAAGTTTGAAAGGATGCAGATTGCTGAGGGGCTTGTTCCGTATTCGATTTTTTTTCTTACATGCATAACTTGGAAGCAGTGTTGGATTAAAGTGAAAAGGTAGTTTCTTCTTCTTCTATATCTTAAGGGCCCACGATCAATTTATTGATCATTTTGGCTCCTATGCATGTAGATGGGATTTGCAATGTTTCTGTTACTGGTGGTGATGAGGAAATTATGCACTAGGGGTTTGAAGGCTTGAGGCAATAGACACAAATGCGTCTAGTGTTGTCGCCTCAACTGTTCCTTTTGAAAGATGGTTCCAGTCCCTGATTGTCTTGGGCAGGAATGAGCAGCTCCTATACTGGCTTCTTGCTGGTATGAGCCTGAATTGCCTGTCATGGCCTCGTCGCTGTCTATGGGGGAGAGGGACGAGTTTCTGTTTAATACTGGAACAGTGGACCAGCCCATTATTTATCTTGTACATCATGGAGAGCCTGGATTGTCGTCGTCGTTTCTCCAATGGTGACCAGCCTAGTGTTTCTAGCATGCTGCCAACACTAGAGGTATTCCTGTAGCGGTTTAGGACAAAGCGTGCTGCTCGTCGCTGGACCGCCTCCAACCTGTCAATGCTCTTCTGGGTAAATGGGTCCCAGACTGAAGATGCATAATCTAAAATCGGACGGATAAAGGCTTTATATGCTCTTTCTTTCACACAGGAGTTGCCAATCTTTAGATTTCGCCTTAAGAACCCCAAGGCTTGGTTTGCTTGGTTACATACATTGTTAATATGCTCGTCCCAGCGGACCTCTCTTTGAATGGTAACACCCAGGTACTTTACGGAGGAAACTTGCTCAAGAATATGGCCGTGCAGTTTGTATTGGTAGTGTAGAGGAGTACAACTTCTAGAGATTGATAGTGTCTGGCACTTGGCAGGGTGAAATTCCATGTCCCAGCTCATCTCCCACTCAGCTAACAGATTGAGATCCTGTTGTAGCTGGTCCTGGTCAGATCTGTTGGCGATCGTCCTATACACTGCTGTGTCATCTGCAAACAGTCTTGCCTGTGATGTCAGTTTCTCCGGTAGGTCATTAATGTATGCTAGGAACAAACAGGGGCCCAGGACTGATCCCTGGGGGACCCCTGACTTCACATTGACAAAGGAGGAGCTTGTACCGCCCACCACTACTGCTTGGCGTCGGTGGCTGAGGAAGCTAGAGATCCATGTTTTAGTGGTGCCTTGAATCCCATATATCTGGAGTTTGTTTGCTATGGTGCCGTAATCTTAAACAAAAATATGAAAGGTAATTTTGGAGAAATATACCTAGGATGCTAAAATAGTTTGCAATTGATCTACTTCTAATTTTACTTTTGTCAACTTTAAAAAAACTTTTGGAGTTTATGGATATTAACTCCTCGAGGACAATTTTATTTTAAGCTTTATTTAATTAAGTCTGAAAGTAATTTTTATTTCATGTTGGTAAACTCCCTAGAACTAGATGAACCCGAAGATCCATCTGTTTCTGGAATGTCAGGAGCTGTAGGAGAGAGCATGGATCAGGCAGCACAAGATGAAGTTGGGGAAGACGGGGTCAAGAAAAGGAAACCCAGAAGAGTTTTTGGTCTTGGTAAATATCTTCATTTGTCCAGTCTGCCTAGTAGAGGATGATTTTTCTTTCATTGCTACTAAAAACTTTCAGATTAAGAACATGTGGATGACATCACCAAAAAAAAAATGTAACATCTTTCAATGTTTCCCAGGTGTTGGGGGTTTTATTGTAAGACAAAGGTCACGGCAATGGTTGGCAAAGCGACAGGCTTCCTATGAGGAGCAAGAAGACCAAGAGAAAGGTAATAGATGAATGAAAACACTTACATTTATATAGAAACTTGGAAAAAATATTTAGAAGTTAGGCTCATTGGTTATTAAACATTTTTAAAAAATTTGTTGTTGTTAGTTTGGAGTTAATGTGTATTTCATTTTGTCAGCAAATAAATCTAAATGGTTATACAATTGTATTTAGTTGTTTTATGTTGAACGCATACTTTGGAATTATTTGACATAAATGTTTATATTTTTTATGTTTGTGTGATCGTTGTTGATTGTGCTGTTAAATATTATATTCAGCCAAAGTTGTATAATTATGTAAATTTCACCAAACTGTATATTCCAACACAATATATCCTGGTTAGCGGGTGCAGATCAAGCTGGAGAAAAAGTGGATAAACCCAAGAGGAGGAGGAAAGTTAAAAAATCCAAATTAGAGGAAGCTTTTCCTTTTTACATGCAGGTTAGCTCATATCTGCTCCTTCATTTGCTCAATAATTGATTACATCTTTTTCTACTTTTAAGTCAATTATTGGGGGGAAAAAATTTGACGTGGATTAAGGTTTCAATTTTTAAAAAAAAAAAAAATCTCTTAAAGTCTCTTTTGGCCTTAGTGGTTATTTAAATAATTTCATGGAAAAAACTAATATTTTCCAATTCAGGAAGCATTTTTTGGAAAAGGTATCCTGGAACAGACAAAAGAGTCCACAAAAGGATTGTTGAAGACAGAATCGGATTCAGACCAAGATAGATCCAGTCCAGTGAAAATGCTCCCTGCTGCAGGTTTGTAGATTTTACCAGTGTTCCCTTGGTTACTATACAATGCTGTTCTTCTTTTTGCATGCAAAATTTGACTGGGTTGCACCCAAAGCTATATTAAATTGTAAGGAGGAACTTTCCATCACAAGGAAGCAGCACATTTTTTTCCAGTCACTGTCTTCCTAATTTACCACAAGCCACCACCTATATTTAATTGTTTTCCTGAATTAATGGGGTTCACAGTGCAAGCTCTTTGAATTTAACATTAAATCTGAATCTTTTACAGATGTGCCAAGTTTGAAAATGGGATCAGATATAGAGGGATCTACGCCCGCTCCTGTACCACCTACAGGTACTTTGTCAAGGCCCCCGACATCAATGTCAGGCTCTGAACAGGGCGAGGATATCCACAGTTTAGGTAAGTTAAATCCGGGCTGTTTTTTTTAATTGAGAATAATTGTAATATTTAGCTATAAAGTTATATTTTTTTTACTCATAGATAATTTAAAGATACTTTAAGTATGTTATGTGCACTAACATTTTGAGCTTGAAACAACAGTGCACAAGGCTCATTATTTTTTTTCTGTCAGGAAAGGACAGCTTAAATTCTTTTTAAACAAAATATTTTATTGAAAATATATGTTAAAAAGTTCATTGATTTTCCTTTACTATATTGTTATGCCAAAAAATGATGACTGGGAGTAGGTGGGGTTTGAGCAAGATTATGTTATTAGATGTTCTCCATATACTACAGTTACTTATTCCTTTTACCCCGTATGGAGCAAAGGTCGTCTACAAGAATTTCCCATTCATCTCGGTCCTGTGCTTTACTTTCCAGTTGCTATGAGGTTTATCCCATATTTTGTTTCTGTCTTCAGCTCACACCTCAATGTATTCTTAGGCCTTATTCTCTTTCTTTTTACCCACGGATTCCTTGTTAGGTGTTGTCTTGTGATATTATCTGGGGGTTTACGAAGAGTGTGCCCTATCCACCTCCATCTCTTCCTTATGATGTTTTCATCAATAGACTCCTGGTATGTCCTTTCCAATAAGTCTTTGTTGGTGATGGCGTTTGGCCATTTGATGTTCAGGATCTTTTTTAAGGCAACTGTTTATGAAGATCTTTACTTTCTGCCTGATGTTCACTGTTGATCTCCAAGTTTCAGTTCCATAATTAGGACTGTTTTGACATTTGTGTTGAAAATTCTGACTTTATTTTGCAGAGTCAGCTCAGCTACTTTGACTCCTATATTTTCTTTAATAGCACAAATGGTGATTTAGCCTTTCCAATTCTAGCCCTGACATCCGCTTGGGATCCACCATTATTGTCAATGGTGCTGCCTAAGTATGTGAAGAGCTCCACTTCTTCCAGTGTATTTCCTGTCAGAGAGATATGCTCTTGGTCGGCTGAGTTTAACTTCATGATCTTTGTCTTCATTTTATTTATATTGAGTCCGAGCTGTGTTGAAATGTTTGCTACATCTTTTGTCTTTTGCTGCATTTGTTGCTGGTTGTGGGACAGAAGTGCAATTTCATCTGCAAAGTCTTGGTCAGTCAGTTGTTCCCAGAGTATCCACTGTATCCCATTCCTTTTTTTGTCTGTGGATTTTGGATTTTTTCATTATCCAGTCAATGACAAGGATGAATAGATAAGGGGACAAGCGACATCCTTAACTGACTACTGTTTCCTCTTTAAAGGCATCTGTGAATCTACGTTTGTGTAGTATCCTGCTTGTCATTTCTTCATAAGAACTCTGAATAACCCTGACTAATTTTCCTGGTATCACATATTGCTGGAGAAGTTTCCACAAGCAAGCTTTGTAGGTCTAGGCTATGAAAGGCCTTTTTGTAGAGGTGGTTTGGGGGGGGGGGGTAGTGTCCCCAATGTAATTACCTAGTGATTCGTAGTGTTACAATTTGATGTGTGCATGATCTGTTTTTGAAGGAAACCAGCCATATTGCTGGAGAAGTTTCCACAAGCAAGCTTTGTAGGTCTAGGCTATGAAAGGCCTTTTTGTAGAGGTGGTTTGGGGGGGGGGGGGTAGTGTCCCCAATGTAATTACCTAGTGATTCGTAGTGTTACAATTTGATGTGTGCATGATCTGTTTTTGAAGGAAACCAGCCTGGTCCTTCATTATATTCAAAATAATTCTATTAATAATTATTATCTGGTATAGACAGCAGTGTAATTCATCTGCAGTTTGCACAATTGCTGATATCTCCTTTCTTTAGTATCATGACGATGTATCCTACTTTCCAATCTTTTGGAAATCTCTCTTCTTCCCATATCTTTTCAAACAGAGGGTGCAGCATGTTGACTATTGC